TCCGTGGACTGGACAATGTTCCTGCAAAACGGGATGGGACGGCAAAATCTGTGACAGGCCGTGTCCCTTCTATACCTTCGGCAAGGGTTGTCAAAATCATTGCATCTGCAAGAACAACGCGCAGTGCTCGCCCATCGACGGCACTTGCATTTGCGCGGACGGATATCGCGGAATGGATTGCGGCAATCTGTGCCCCGCGAATACGTTCGGGGAGGACTGCGTGCAGAAGTGCGCCTGCAAAAACGGAGCCAGCTGCTCGCCTGAGAACGGAAGCTGCAATTGCACGGCTGGTAAGCGTGACTTGAATATTCACACTCGATGATTTGTAATTATAAACTTATCGTTTAGAGAAAATCTTTTAGATGCACCTATAGTTACAGAAATAAATTAGTTACAGAAGAAATAGTCAATGTTAGTATCAGGGTGAAACTTTTAGGTTTAAATGTTTGGTCATTCTTACTTTTATTTATTGTCTCCTGAAGTCTTATCAATATTATTTCACAATTATTCTGCGTAACATTTTGCATAGTATTAGACGCAGCTTTGTTTGATATTTTTCGTACACGTCAGTAACTTTCATTGCTCATCTGTATAGAACTTACCATACTTCACTTTGTTAGTAGGATTATCTAGTAATACTAGTTACTTAGTAGAATTATTTACTAAAGTTTCGCTAATAAACGTATTTCCGATGAAGATATTCGACATCGCTAATTACAACACAAATTTCACGATCTCTTCGACATTTTACCAGGATGGGTCGGTATCTTGTGTGACCGTCCGTGCGATGACAAATTCTATGGCAAGGATTGCGAAGGCAAATGCAAATGCTATAATAATGCAGCCTGCCACCCGCAAAATGGTAAGGCAATCAAGTAGCGACTGTTCCGGTTCGATTCTTCGCGATAAAGATAGTAAAATTTTACATCAATATCGTTAAAAAGGGACATACAAAGAAATACGCGACGAATTCCTAACTTTAAATTCTTTCTTACTACTTGCACAGAACACATAATATGTTATTTTAAAACTAAACAAACGCAGGCACGTGCACGTGTGCGGCTGGCTTCACCGGTATGCTATGTCAGGACCGTTGTAGAAAGGGCTTCTATGGAAACGGATGTAATCAGAGATGCAACTGTGTCGAAGAGAACACCGTGGATTGTGATTTCACTACCGGGTATTGCAACTGCAAGCCGGAATGGCGAGGTTTGTTGAATTAATTTTCGCGCCAATTTAGTCGTTAATCAAAAATTTTTTTCGTCGAGAAAATCAACATGTTACGTCATTGTTGAATCAATAGAAAAATTATTGTTAAAGCGATTGTGAACAAGATTATTCAAAATGTACTCAAGGAGAATAGAGAGTCAAATTGATATTATTTTGTTTTTGTTCTTGTGTATAGCTGTACCGCATATATTGTCAATTGAATAATGGTATTGTAATATAAAGTGTAAAGAGTAAAGCGATAGCGTATGAAAAACAGTTCTTAATAGTAGTCATGCAGCAGAGAGCCGTTTCTCGAGATGGATTTTACTTTAATGTTGAAACAGGAATACGATGCGAAACAAAGTGTCCGGAAGGTCTTTACGGCAAGGATTGTCATTTACATTGCGAATGCATGCACAACAGTTCGTGTGATCCCACGACCGGAAGTTGCGTCTGCGCCAAGGGCTGGGAGAGCTCTGATTGCTCGCAACCCTGCAAGGAAGGATGGTACGGGCTGGGATGCAGAGAAAAGTGCCCGGAGAAAATAAACGGTAAAGCGAAGATTTAATATCCAAGATTTAAAACGCGTGACATCGTTTGAGTGTAACATATTTAATTCGCATATTTTTTGAACCAATTAATGTTTTGTAGGCAACATAAGATGAATGTATTATCACACCTTGTGGCAGATTGCGTTATGTTTAATATCTTAATCCTGAATGTTATTCTTACAACATATCTCAATAAGTTCCTATTTTTCCTATGCATAATCGGTCAGTCTCTCTCAAGAAACATATCTTTACGTAAGTTTGCCCATATATTACAATCGGAAAGAAATAAAAGAGAAGAAATTAAGTTAAATTGTAAGATCAATTTTTCTGCTTGTGATGGCATTGTACATCCGGAGATATAGATAACATGCTTAGATGTAGGTTTTTTCTATTATGTACAGCTATTCGAAGCTAAGAATAAATAGTTTGATCTCTATTATACTTGCGCAAACGCTGACGCAAATAGTATGCATATAATAATTCATTTTACTCTTTATCACTAGTCAATTTTATTGTCAAGCACTGAATAATTTTATTGATTATTAGCTAGATTATCCATCTTACATTCGGTTAAAGGAAAAGTGGTGAAAGGATTAATAATAGTTATAACGAACGTGTTACTAAAAATTAACAGGCGAT